TGAGGGAAGCAGAGCCCACTGCGGTCCATCCGAGGGGAGGGGAGGGGCGTTGTCACAGACGGGATCTCAACGCTTTGCTCGGCTGACCATTTATCCTCCTTCAAAAACACCCACAACAGTGATGCAACTCCCCTGTCAATCATCATGTTCCTCTAGGCCTCCATTCTTAGTATAGTAACCTTTTCAAACTATTATCTAAAGCAGGTTTTATAAAGTGTGAGACAGTCACTGTGAAGGCTCAGGACAATCAAAAGTAGTTATTTGTTCATTTTTGTCTGCACAGTTTGAAACATTAGGTGTTAATGTCTTTGAGGGCCACTAAATCCCTTTGCTCTGCATCAGGGATGTACGAGTCATGTACACCTGAGAACACACAAATGTGTGTATCTGAAGAATTGAGGGCTGGTTCAGTCTTTGAGACTGGACTTTTTTTCTTTTTTTTTTTTTTACTGAAAGCACACAGGGAAATCTTGGAAACAAAGTCTGTGTAAAAGTTCACGTGAAAGGAATTACAATCTTAATATTGATTTAGTTTCAACTTTATTTTAGCAGGAAATAGAAATAATGAAATTAAAATTATTTTCCAAGATGTTTCTGGCCAAGACACAGCAGCCGTTTAAAGTATAGAAAATAAACTGAAAAATACACACGCAGATGTTACTGGGAACCAAACTGTGAATACATGTGGATAGCTTAAAGAACAACAGCTCATTTAGGATGTGCAAAAATGGTCAGTATTACAAAACGAGGCTATATTTCTTTCTGAAACTTTTCTGTGACGGCCGTTTGTAGATTTGTTGCCTCATACAGTCACGGTAAATGAGACAAAAAACATGAATGAATATTTAATATTTTTGGAACCATAAGTAAGCCAGCTGCCATGGAGTTGTGAGTTTTTGTTGGTTTAGCCATGAGTTTTTACTAGCTTGAGCTTTTGCGTGGTGTTCAGGATAAGATATCCCTCTTTGGACATGTTTGGAATAAGAGGTTTTGTTTGAGTGAGTCAAAGCCACCAAAGGCCTGACAGACTGACACTGGAAAGGTCCTTTAAATCCAGACTGAAGGTGAGATGTTGCATGAATGTCAGAATCAGGATTGGATTTTGAACAGTTGTTTGATGCGAGCCAGCTTACAGACTATTGCCAAAACAGAATTGCAAGTAAGAGGTAAAACATTGGCAAACAGTTTATTTGGAGTCCGAAGGCAGGTTTCCAGCCTTTTTTTGAGGGGCATCCCAAAGCTGCCCGGATGCCGACTACAGCTTTGGTGATGTCCACGGCCGCTCTGAGCCGCTTACGCCGGTTGAGTGTGGATGTTTTTTGGCCCGCTTGTTCCTCCGTCCACATTTAGTCCACCTTCCGACCTCGATAAGGCCTTATAGTTCTTAAATATTCAGAGTTTATTGAGTTGTAGCTTTTTACTTTAAAGTTTGTTGATGCCACCCTCAATTGTACCTTGTTAGACACAGCTTGAAAAAGGGTTGGAAAGGGGCTGGGATGCATAGACAAGTTATTTGTTGACCCGGTAACCCAAAAAACTGGTTTCTTTGCAAGCATTTGCTGAAGAAGCAGCCAATGTCTAAAGAAAAACTTTGTAAGGCTTTCAGAAGTCTGGGTAAAGGGCAGGTCGACAGTAGTTAAATCATGAGAAAGCTTTGCAGCTTTTAACCAAAACGTAGAGAAGAGAAGGAGCGTTCACAATGATACCATATCAATTTGAAACGGGAATTAAATATTACTTTTGAACAGCTTGTAGAAATGTGAAGTTAACATCACGAAGGTGTTTTCTGAGTAGATAGTCAAACTGCTCGGGGATGTATTTGAAAAGGTCCCGTTTGACATGTTTACACGCAGCCCTGTTGGCTTCCACATCATTAGGGATTCTGTTTGTTTAGTTTTTTCACACCTCAGATTGGCCTCTGTGGTGTTACTGAACGATGTAACAAATGAACAGAAGTCACTAATGAGACAGCCTCGACAGACTTGAATCGTGTTTTTTCTGATGGGTGACAAGCTCTAATTTGACCTGAGAGGTTTGAGTGTTTTTGTTTCTGTCCACAAAACAAACATTACATCATGCCGTGGCCTGGTCACACAGTTTGTAGATGTTATATTCAGTTTTCTAAGTTGATCAGTTTAGATAGAACAAAGTCCTATACCCACGATAGAAATCTGGAAATCTCTTCCAACTCTAAACATTTCAGAAGTCCAGAAGAGCTTCTTTTCTGTGCGGTTACACAACTGGAGCTGGTAGAGAGCAGCTAAGGGAAGCTGAAGATAAGAGATCAGATCTTAAGAGTTAGGTCACTGGGTCAAATCTTGCAGCTTCAGTTTGGAAAAAGCTGACTAAAGGGCGGTGGATGGTGTGGTGGGTCAGACGCAAACACACATGCTAAACTCTGGTTTGTTTTTTCACAGGTGTTTAAAATGGTTTCTGACAGTGGCCGTTTCGGCACCAGCAAATATCCACTCATCTTTAGCAGTTTTAAAAAAAGGTGGGACATGGGGCTGAAACTACCATTGTTTTCATAGTATCATATGTCTTTGTTCATAATTCTTCATAAATGTGTTAAATACATTTTTCATTGAATACCAAAAAATTTGCAACTGAAAATGTATTTATTATCGTCTGTTGTAAATCTAATTGTATGTTTTTCCAGTTTTCTCTATTCAAATGTATGATTTATTTTAGTCCTTTGTTTTAACATAACACCTTTTGGATCTATTTTTATTGTATTTATGAATGTTTGCTTTTAGGAGGAGGCCTCCTTGGCGCGCCTCCTAAAAGTAAAGAAAAAGCACAGGACACTTGGCAGTTTAATCTCACCTCCCTATCTGCAGCACCTTATTAATTTGGCTTTCAGTTTGTTTAAGGCGCACACTACATCTCTGAGTTGCTGTCGCCTGGTGTTCTGTGCCCCTCCCGACCACCGACGGTCTCCGTTTACATCCGAGTTTGCACAAAAAAAGGACAGCGAAGAGAAGGTACTGCGTTTTGTCACCCATTGTCATCATGTTTTGCCAACTCACGGGGACATTTTTCCCCATCTTTTTCATTCACAATATGCCACTCAGCAGCTACTCCAACACTGTTCTGTGGACAGATTTAAATATGAAGAAGCACTAACTAGTGGCCACGGCTCCTGACAAAGGGCCAATAAAAAAAAAAACCTCATAAACTTTAGAAATAATAAAGTGGAGGGTTTTGACTTTAGCCACATGTCATGGTTGAAAACAAGCCCCCCCCTCCTGCCATTAGCTGTGCACACCTGACCTGTGCAGGGTGATACCCGAGGTGAATTTTCAGCTATTGCACATTGATGTAAAGACAGCATGACGGGTACATGTATGAGCAAAGCAAAACGTAGCCTGTGTCTCTCCCACTCACCTCGTCCTTCTGGAGGGCCACGTGAGAGGTTGTTGGCTGTGTTAGTGAGAGAGACTGAATTTTTGATCCACAGCCCGTCGGCCCTTTATCGTCTTTGGCATCATCATCATCATCATCATCATCATCATCTTCAACCGGTCGCCCGCCAGCCCCATCATAATCTTTGGCCGTCTCGCCATCTTTGACCGGTTGGCCTCTTCATCGTCGTCTTCAGCCCGTCGGCCTCTTCAGATCAGGAATTGAACCAGTGATCTCCAGTCCCACGGGCAACACCAATACCACTTTGCCAACAACTTTTTATTGTAGTCATATTTATAGACATCGTTATATTGAAACTGTGTATGTATAAAAGCTCACCATTACATACATACATACATACATACATACATACATACATACATACATACATACATACATACATACATACATACATACATACATACATACAGTACAGAACAAAAATCTACAAACAAATAAACAAAACACTTGGTGTTGCTCTTTGAATTACAGATGACCGATTCAATTCCTATTCCAGGCACAGCTAACCAGCTCAAGCATGGCCCTGCAGAAGGACGATGTCAGTGGAACTTCTTAATTAAAGGTGAGCTTTTAAAGATCCAATAAAAATGTAGAGTGCAGTCATGGCCAAAAGTATTGAGAATGACACAAATGTTATATTTTCACATGATCTGCTGCCCTCTAGTTTTCACGTGTCATCACATACAGAAATACAATCAATGCTTGCATTTTGTCAGAATTCCTAGGTTTTTGTTTTTCCACACGTCTCTTGATGATTGACCATAAGTTTTCAATGGGATTAAGATATGGGGAGTTTCCAGGCCATGGACCCAAAACTTTGTTCCCTGAGCCAGTTAGATATCACCTTTGCTCCATCATGCTGGAAAAGGCATTGTTCATCACCAAACTGCTCCGGGTGGGAGAAGTTGCTCTCGGAGGAAATTCGGATACCATTTTGTACTCACGGCTGTGTTTTTAAGGTAAGACTGCGAGAGAGCTGACTCCCTTGGCTGAGAGGCAACCCCACACACGAATGGTTTCAGGATGCTTTACAGGTTAGTCCGTTGGCCAGAATCTGTACGACGTCTCCTTAAGCAATTCCGTTTGAACTTTTAGGGGGCAACTTTCTTTCACTTGGATAAGTTGCTAGAGATTACAGTGATGTTAAAACGCCAATGTTCCCACCCTTTCACTTGCACATTAATAAGTTCTAGTCGATTAAAAATAGAATTTGTTCCGCCGTAATCTAAGAAATCGCGAGATTCCAGTTTTGCTTATCAGCCAATCAGATGCCTGAATCTCAGCGCGAGAGCTCGGTTATTTAAATATGGCAGCGCCCGTGAAATGTTTTTTGCATTTGTTTCAAGACAAAGAACGTCCAATTATTTAATTTTCTGGTGCCGGTTGGCGGCGATTTATTGAAAGTTGTAAGTCCTTGATAGACCTGGACGGCAGGGAGAAAGAAATAGCCGAGACTTTCTCTCAGTACACAGTTGAGTCGCCGGGACCCGCTGAATTGGGGACAAGGAAGTGCTACTCGAAGTACACGGACAAAACAAAAATTGGGAGAGCACGTCAACGTGTTGTACGCGAGCGAACACAAAGCACTCTTTACTGTGATCATGAAAGAAGCTGATACCAGACTTCTAGTTCATGCAAAGCATGCTTCTTTGGAATCTAAAGATATTGTTCTCTTGAGCCCAGACACTGATGTCATGGTCTTGGCTTTGGGTTGTGTGCATTGTTTTGAGAGTAGTATCTATTTTAAGACAGGGACTGGCAACAAATCTCGTATTATTAATATTTCTCATCTAGCAAGTCTTCACGGTCCAAGGAAAGGTCTAGCTTTTGTTGGTCTTCATGCTTTTACTGGATGTGACACGTGAAGTGCCTTTTAAAGGGAAAGGAAAAGTAAAAGCCTTAAGGCTAATGGTTGAATCCGAGCCAGCTGTTAATTGCTTTCAAATTCTTTGGAAAAATTGGGATGTTGATGCTAAATTGTTCATTCAGCTGGAATAATTTGTCTGTCACTTGTATGGACAGAAAAACTGGGTTAATGATGCCAGGTTTAAAATGTTCTCTTCTCTGTAGATCAGATAAATCTTTTCCGCCAAATGAGGATTGTCTTTGACAACATTCTAAGCGAGCTCCATACCAGCTAGAAATTTATAGAAGGTGTGTTGACCAGTTTATTAACGCCCCTAACCCAGAAGGCCATGGCTGGTCCTTTGAAGATGGAGTGCTTTCCTATTGTTGGATGGTAAATCCCCCAGCTCCATCTGATGTCACAATGGACATATCTTGCAAGTGCAAGACAAATGCATGTGCTACACAAATCTGTCCATGCAAAAGGGGTCATTTGCCGTGTAGCGACTTCTGCCAATGTGTTAACTGTGCAAACTGTCCCATGATTGAAAATGAGAATGATGTGGAAGGGATATATTCAAATGATAATGAGGACTTGGATGACTCAGATGATGAGTTGTAATGTTTTTCATGTAGTAAGTTTTTGCTGAAAATATAAAATATATAAATATGAGAGGTCTGGATTTGAATAATATGATGTAAATATGATACTGTTGGGTTAAGTGCTATTTAGATTTCATTCTATATATTCTTAACTCTGTGGTGATGGTTATTTGGTGCACAGAGTGGTGCAGAGGGCGGTAGAGAGCCCAAACGTTTATTTGTTTGGAGAAAGGGGATAGAGCAAGAAGCGGAGGTGATTAATACTGGGTGAACACCTGAGTGACTCTTTTGTTTGACTGAACAGAGACGCTACTGGTAAGTTTTTCACTTCATTTCCCCACTTATGTTTAGTAAAGTATTTATTTTTCCAAGACTATGTCCAACATATATAATTGAACATGTTTGCATGGTTTATTGTGGCACTAATTTCTGTTTGTTTTCTTTCTGAGGTTTTCAACCTGCCTGCTTAACTTTCACCAAAGTGTGACAAAAGTCAATAAAAGAAAGTTTAAGTTGAGCTGAGTGGATCCATGCGTCCTCTGTGAAAAGCCTGGTCGAGTCAGGCAAACAAATAAAAAACCAGAGATAACTCGACAGATACGTTTGGATTGAAATAGTATGATGACGTGAGGAAAGGTTAAGATAGAAATAATATAACTGTAAATATGAGAGGTTCAGATTTTTATATTGGACATAAATTAGGATCCTTAGTTTGTATTGACAGTGAAAATTATCTATTATTCCATTTTTTATAGCAAGGTTGTTTTTCTCTCATGAAGTGAATAAATGCAATATGATGGAAAGTGAAGTGTCAGTTTTTCAATAATTAAAATAGTAAGAAATTATTTGGACCAAAAACAAGGTATTTGCATATTAAATGATTGTGTTTTGTCTTGCTCTGGCTGTATAAAGTGGAAAATACGTAGTATTCAGGTTCAGTGGCCCCCTGGCAGCAAAATTCGAAACTAAAGGTGTAAATTGCATTTCCATGTTGATTCCATCAGTATTTGCATAAAATAAACTTTTCTAATGATCAACCTTAATGATTTAAAAGTATTTTTGGTAAAGATGACTTGGTTAAAACCCAAAAGAAGGAGATTTTCTTAGTTTTAGCCACCTATAGGCCAGATGTGGAACTACCGAAATTTTAATTGGCCGTAATTAATTAATGTGCAAGTGAAAACGCGGGAACATTGGCTTTTTGAGATCACCGAAGTCCAAAGTATCTAATTAAACTGGAAGATAGTTGCCCCCAAAAAGTTCAAACGGAAAGTCATCGTACAGATTCTGGCCCACGGCCTAGTCGGGTAGAGCTGAGACGGTCCTGGCGCTTGCCGGTCTTTCTTGGGCGCCCTGGAGCCTTTTTGGCAACATTGACGTTGAAATGTGTTTTGGGGGATAAAGTTAATTTTCTAGGGAAATATTGACTTTGCAATTAATTGCTGTTACGCTGATAACTTTCTGGAGTATATGCAAATTGTCGTTGTAAAAACAGAAGCAGTAAACTTTGTAAATATTAACATTTGAATCATTCTCAAAACCTTTGGCCTCGACTGTACAGTAATAGCTATGGTGTTATTCATTCTGTCATCAGTAGGCTACCCCTTTGCCAACCACCCAACAGGGGTATGCTTTGGTTTGGTCATATATAGAGACATAGTGTTTTGTGTACAAAAGACAGACAGACATAAATGCTATTTTAGCGATTTAGACGATTAGATAAAGATCAGTGGATAGATATTAACATTCTTTTTCCGTATGTTGGCAGTCGACAAATTAAGGGTCTACACAGTTTGGCAGTTTTGGTCTCAGTTTGTGGAATCACATGGTTTGTTTTTTAGGGTGAGCAGCTGTGGTTATGCGGGCACAGCATCAGACACCAAACTACCTCGGCATACATCACAGGACAGCCTTTTGAGAAGTTGGCGGACATAAAACCCTAACATTTACACCGGTTCACCGTGTGATCGCGGACTCGGATTCTCCATTTAGACAACATGGAGGCGACGCAGGCCTCAATGCGGCGTCTACGTACGTATGCCTACGCGTCCATGATTGTAGGCCGATGGCCTTGCAGCCTAGCAGCTAACTTCCGGAAGTAGTGAGACGCCCCAACGTGGTCAACGGAGATGACGACACTTTGACGTAAACCAGGAAGTAGTTTGGAAGCACGAGCTACACGTTGTTTTCCAGGAAACCCTGAGAAAGTATTTACTAAACAATACTTAAACGGTCAAACGTTTGCGTCGTTTTGTTTTAGAAACGGTGACACCGCCGGACCGCTTGCGGCTGAATAACGAGCCGTGAAGATGTCCACGACGTATCCCACACCAGTTTACTGCCACGCGGGACGCGGAGACTTCCAGGACGTGTACGAGCCGGCGGAGGACTCTTTCCTGCTGCTGGACGCGCTGGAGAAAGACGCAGATGCGCTCCGGAAGATGAGGTTTGGTCCAAATGTTTTCGAGAGTCTCGTGTACTGATGTGAAATTGGGCAAAGACGATGTGACGGGGCCGCGTTTGCTTGTGGGTTCCAGCCCCTCTGTGTGCCTGGAGGTGGGCAGCGGCTCGGGAGTAGCGTCTGCATTCCTGGCATCACTGCTTGGACCTTCAACTCTCTACCTGTAAGTAGTTGAGTAGCGTTTAACAACTACATTAAACACACTGCAGTAAAGTTAGCAACATATTCACAGATTCGCGCTTCCCGCGTCAATAACTTGTAATCGGGACATTTTTTAAACGCAGCCAATGCCTGTTTACAACTGTAGTAGCGCACACAACGAACTACAACTAATTTTTATCAAAATAAGCCGTCCTCTGCGCTACTCCGACAACATTGATCTCTATGGACGAGTGCCCGTTATTTAATCCATCAAATAATGTTTCATATTTTTTATTAATATTTTTGGGGATCCATAATCAATAACGCTAATATTATGAATGGTAGACTCACGAAATCACTCTGTACATCATTCACATCCTCCTGTTGATACTACAACTCTTATTTAATCCATAAAATCATGTGTCATATTTTTTATGAATATTTATTGGGAAAAATAAACAATAACGCAAATATTATGAATGGTAGACTCACCAAAATCACTCTGTACATCATTCGCATCCTCCTGGTGATACTACAAATGTTATTATATGAACAAGAATTTTGAAATATGTATTTGATGAGTCATGTTTATGTTTATGCATTTGGCAGACGCTTTTATCCAAAGCGACTTACAGAGTAGACAATATTACATTTGTCATCACAATGACAATAAGCTATATAGAGGAGAAACACTGATCAGAGTCAGTGGTGAGATCGAGATAGAGGTAGAGGGACTACAGAAGGAGCTGTGGGGGGGTAGAGGTACAGGTTAGGGTTAGGATAGAAGATGCTCTTTGAAGAGGTGGGTCTTCGAGAGTTTCTTGAAGACAGACAGGGACTCTGCTGTTTTTGTGGAGCTCGGTAGGTCGTTCCACCATCTTGGAACGACACATGCAAACAGTCTGGATTGTCTTAAGCGTGGTGAAGGCACTGCTAGACGACAATCCATTGATGACCGGAGTGATGGAGTTGTGACATAAGCCTTTGCAAGGGGATTCAAGTAGATGGGAGCCATACCCTTAAGCACTTTGTAGGCTAGCATCAGGGACTTGAATTTGATACGGGCAGCCAGAGGTAACCAGTGGAGTTCAATGAACAGAGGGGTGACGTGAGATTTTTTGGGCAGATTGAAGACCAGACGCGCCGCCGCGTTCTGGATAATTTGTAAAGGTTTTACCGTACAGGCCGGGAGACCAGTCATGAGTGCGTTGCAAAAGTCTAGGCGGGAGATGACCATAGACTGCACCAGGAGCTGGGTAGCATGTTGTGTTGGGTACGGCCGGATCTTTCTTACGTTTAGTAATGCGAAGCGACAGGATCAAGAAACAGAGGCAACGTGATCTTTAAAGGTCAGCTGGTCAATCACGACACCCAAGTTTCTTGCTGCCTTTGATGGAGTCAGAGAGAGGGATTCAGTTTGGATGTGAATATTGTGGTGAATTTGTTTGGCTGGAAAGACAAGCAGTTCAGTTTTTGAGAGATTCAGCTGGAGGTGGTGGGCTTTCATCCATTTTGATATGTCAGAGGGACAGTCTGAGATGCGCGCTAAGACCGAGTGGTCATCAGGTGGGAATGACAGATAGAGCTGTGTATCGTCAGCATAGCAGTGGTAGGAGAAACCATGTGATTGAATGATCTGGGCCAAGGAAGTGGTATATATAGCAAAGAGAAGAGGTCCAAGTACTGAACCTGGAGGAACCCCTGTGGCGAGGTGGTGCACTGCAGAAGTGTGACCAAGCCAGGATACTTTAAATGATGGACCAGCGAGGTACGATTCAAACCAGGAGTGTGCTCTCCCTGCGATGCCCATACTGGAGAGTATAGACAGAAGGATGTCATGATTGACTGTGTCAAATGCGGCTGATAAGTCAAGAGGTCAAGTACTGAGGACTTGGCATTTGCTCTTGCCTCTTTTAGGGCTTCTGTCACAGACAACAGAGCCGTTTCAGTGGAGTGGCCACTTTTAAACCCCGATTGATTTGTATCAAGGAGTTTGTTTTGTGAAAGGTAGTCTGTGACCTGCTTAAAGACTGCCCTTTCAATGGTCTTTGACAGAAATGGAAGCAGAGAAACCGGCCGATAGTTTTCCACCCGAGTTGGTGGGAGAGAGGGTGTTTTGAGCAGCGGTGTGACCAAAGCTTGCTTGTATGAGTTGGGAAATGTGCCAGATGTCAGCGAAGCATTGATCACACGTGTGACTGCTGCAGTAACTGTAGGAGCTATGGACTGGAGTAGGTTTGTAGGAACTGGGTCCAGCAGGCATGTAGTATGACGGCCACATGTGAGAAGTTTGGACACATTGCTCTCAGTGAGAGGAGCGAAGGAGGAGAACAAAGCAGTAGGACTTGTGCTTGTATATGTACTACGAGAAGTTTCACGTGCAAGCCGTTGAGTAAACTGTTTGCTTACAGCTGCCACTTTGTCAGTAAAAAATGAGGCGAACGAGTCTGCCGTTAAGCTAGTAACAGGTGGCGGAGGAGGAGGGTTAAGCAGAGTTTTGAATATGGAGAATAATTTTCGAGTGTCGGTCGTACTGTGAATCTTATCAGTATAGAAAGTGTTTTTTGCATCAGTCATGCTTAAAGAGAATGCAGACAGCAGTGCCTGAAATTTTGTTAGATCATCTGGATTTTTGGATTTGTGCCATTTTCGTTCTGCAGCTCTAAAGCTGGTGCATAGTGCTCTGAGTGTATCATTGAGCCACGGGTGGGACCCAGAGGCTCGAGCAGGTTTAGTGGATAGAGGACATAGACTATCCAGGCAGGAGCAAAGGGTCTCCGTGGCCTCATTAACCTCAAATGAGGAAAATGTGCTGGAGTTTGGGAGAGCGGACGCAACATGGGAGGAAAGTGGGCAGGTGAGAGTTTGTGGAGGTTTCTGCGGAGGGAAACCATAGAGGTGGAAGCAGAGGGATGTTTGGGAAGATTTGCACTGAGTTGAATGAAATAGTGATCAGAAAGGTGCAGAGGTGTGACAGAGAGGGCCTCTATAGCACATTTTCTTGTGAAGATGAGATCAAGTGCTTTGGCAGCTTTGTGAGTTGGAGGACTGCTGACCATTTGTAGGTCAAAGGAGTTCATTAGTGAGAGGAAATCAGAGGAGTTAGCGCAGCCAAGGTGGATATTCATATCACCAAGGATCATTGTGGGACAATCATATTCATGGATGGAGGAAAGTAGGATATCAAGTTAATTTAGAAAGTCGCCTAGTTGCCCTGGTGGGCGATAGATAACAGTCATGCAGATTTTGACTGGTGCAGTGACCAAGATGGCATGGTATTTGAAAGTATTGTATTTGGCATTAGGCGTTAGTTGGTTGTATTTCCATTTGTTGGAAATTAGCAAGCCTGTTCCACCACCTCTCCCAGATGTACGAGAGGTGTGGGAGAATGTGCGGTTAATTGAAAGTGCAGCCGGGGTAGCGCTGTTTTCAGGCTTAATCCAGGTCTCGGTGAGAGCCAGGATGTCAAGCGACAGGTGTTTGGCATAAGCAGTTATGAAGTCAGCTTTGTTTACTGCCGATTGGCAGTTCCACAACCCCACAGACAAGGGTGTGTCACGGGGAGGTTTCATTAAGAGAGCAGAGGTTGTGAAGGTTGCGGTACCGTTTGATAATGCGGTGCATGAGGTAGTGACAACAGGAATGGAATTGTATTTGTGGCACATTGTGGAAGAAGGTGGTATGGCTGCAGCTACAGCGGAATGGCAGTGGGACAAAATTGCCTTGTTCAGTGGCCTTGGCACAGGTAGACACGCAGGTCTTATTCTCAAAGGTGTTACTCGAGAAGGGCTGACGCTACAGCCTTAATGCCCTCTTTTATGCTGTGCTCTCAATTAGACACGGCTGTTCACAGTTAGTTTGATTGCACACAGCTGGGACAGTGAGTGTCGTTAGAGAAAGGACCTCCCACCAAGGAGTTTTGGCAACAAGTGCTTTTCAGAGAGGGAGTGACCGCCCGTTCACAGCCCCGATTGCTCAGATTGTTTTGCGATTGGCCCACCGAGACTACTAGACAACTGGTTTCACCCACGGATGGGTTCGGTCACTTACACAACAGCAAACAAGATTTTAGAGAAGAAGCTAGAAAAACGTACACTTGCGGACACACACGCTTGCTCTGTCTGTTCCCTTCCCTAGTGTTTGATTATTTATCCCCCAAAATATTCATAATAAATATTAAAGAGTTTTTTATGGATTAAATGACAGTTGTAGTATCACCAGGGGTGTGTGAACAATGTACACAGTGATTTCTGTGAGTCTACAGTTCATAATTGTCAAGTTATTGATTATTGATCCCCACAAATATTCACCAAAAAATGAAAAATTATTTTATGGATTAAATTACAGTTGTAGTATCACCCGGGGGGTGTGAAGGATGCACATAGTTATTTTGGTGAAGCTACAGCTCATAATTGTTGACTTATTGATTATTTCCCCCCAAAAATATTCATAAGAAATATGAAAAATTATTTAACGGATTAGCTTACAGTTGTTGTATCACAGGAGGATGTGAATGATGTATACAGTGATTTTGGTGAGTCTACAGTTCACAATAGTCAGGTTATTGATTATAGATCCCCAAAAATATTCCTTGAAAATATGAAAAATGTTTTTATGGATCAAAAAAAGCTGTTGTAGTATCACCAGGGAGGTGTGACTGATGTACACAGTGATTTTGGAGAGTCCAAAGTTAATAATATTGGCGTTATTGATTATGGATCCCAAAAAATATTAATGAAAAAGATGAAAAATGATTTTATGGATTAGATAAGAGTTGTAGTAACAACAGGAGGATGTGAATGATGTACAGAGTGATTTTGGTGAGTCTACCATTCATAATATTTGCGTTCTTGATTATGGATCCCCCAAAATATTCATAAAAAATATGAAATATTATTTCATTGATTAGATAAGGGTTGTAGTATCACCAGGAGGATGTAAATGATGTACAGAGTAGGGATGCAAACGGTTAATCGACTTTAGATGAATTGTCGATCAAGAGGTTGCTCGATCAAAATGTATAAATCACGATTAACCGCTAGAGGGTGCTTGAACACAGCGTGAGAACGAGAACACGCCTCGTGTTGTGAGAGAGACCAGGGTTGAAAACAAAATGAAGCGGACGAAAAGAAGTGCGGTGTGGGACCACTTCAATATTGTTAATTCAGGCTAAGAAGGTTGTCATAGCGACTGTCCGCGACCACAAAAACAAGATTGTTGGGGCGTTAGCCAGCTAGCTCGCTAGCATAGCCACCTATCCGTTGATAGCGCTCATCAACAAACTGCTGGACTGGTTCTTGAACCACTGCAGCAGTTTGTTGATGAGTGCTATCATGCAAGAACTGAGCCAGCTTTTTTAATTAAAGATTTTGTTTAACCTTAAAAACGTGTCTTTCTTCTCCTAATGCATAATTACTTGGGGAATGTATAATATAATGCAATATAATTATGGTATCATAATGTTGGCTAATGTAATGTAATACCTCAATTATATTAAGGCCCTATTGAAGCCCTGAAACTGAGGTGAAAAACGGCGCTTATCAATTAATCGAAAGTCGATCGATAAGATAATCAACTAATGATTAATTAATTAATTGATAATTTGCATCCGTAGTACAGAGTGATTTTGGTGAGTCTACCATTCATAATATTGGCGTTATAGATTTATTTCCCAATAAATATTCATAAAAAAATCTGAAAAGTTTCTTCTTTATATAACTAAAGTTGTAGAATGATGTGTACAGTGATTTTGGTGAGGCTACAATATATATGAGTTTAGTTATTGATTTTCTTTTGTGTTATCATAAAATTTGTTGATGGTCCCTGGGCACTGGTCTCAACGCTGAGTGTTCATATGTCGGAGCAGCGCAGAGGACGGCTTATTTTGATAAAAATGAGGTTGTAGTTTGTTGTGTGTGCTACTACAGTTGTAAAGAGGCGTTTAAAAAATGTCCCGATTCCAAGTTCTTGACGCGGGAAGCGCAAATCTGTGAATATGTAGCTAACTTTACTGCAGTTTAAACACGAGGGCAATTTTACAGACATCAATGTGTAATGAACGTGCTTAGGACCCAAAAGCAGCCAGAGACGTACGGTCAGTGTAACAGGTTTATTATTAAACAGGGACTCGGCAGAGGCGTGGTCAGGGCAGTCCAAGTTCAGTACCGGGTGATCCAATAGTCCAGCGAAGGACACGGGGATAATCCAAGGAGGCGGTCGGGGCCGGTCCAGGGGTCGGTACCAGGGCAACAGTCCAAGGGAGCAGGCGGGGTCTCGAGGTCGCAAGCAGGCGGGGTCATACACGGGCAGGCAGTCAGGATCAGGCAAAGGTACAGGCGAGGAACAGGCAGGCTGGGAAAACAGGCAGACGGAAGGCAGGTCGAGGATCAGGCAGACAGGACAATGTAATGCTGGAAGTACTCACTCTAGGTTCGATATGTTCTGGCAACGAGTTCAGGTAAGCGTGGTGATTATATGGAGGTGGGAACAGGTGAGAGTGATCGGCGCTGATTGCGGGTGAGTAGCTGAGCCGGTGTGCAGGTGGGGGTGGAGCCAGCTCCAGAGCCGGGACGTAACACAATGTTGATGTTTTTTTTTATTTATAGTTTATTTTTTACATGACGGAGACCTATTTATCTCTGTTTTCGAACTAAGGATTTTCCTAATTTTAATACACTTTTGTGGAGGATGCAATCACCTTCCAAAAAGTCGAGCTCGTGGCGGGATGGTCCACAGAGTATTTCTGCCAAAGTCACAAGAATCATCAGCCAAACAAATATAGTGACGTGTAGCCTTTGGGCCTGGAACTCTGCTGTGCAATACATAGTTTAGCGGGTCAGTAACACTGACCTTAACTGCGGCCGTGAAGCCGGCCGTCCTCCCGACGTTGTTGTTTGTTGTCGACTTGTCGGACGAGTAGTTGCGCGTGTGATTTTTGGTCAGCCGAAATATCCAGGGACGCTTCACCCGTGTTTTCTCCATTTGTGGTCAAGGGCTAACTTTTGAAGGATGGCAGCACAATTTTGAGGTTGTTTTGGTGTACTCGATGTTGTCAGGCAGGTCCATTTAAGGGACCTGCCAAAGGGATTTAAGGGCAAGAAAAGTGGACAAGCTTTCTACAGGGAATCATTGCCACACAGGATGTCGAGATGTTTTTTAGCTCTTAATAATGAATACCTTAATTTTCAATGTGTATGTTATGTTTACTTATTTATTGTCTAATATTTCAAAACTTGAGAAACGGGCGCCGTACTGGGGTTGCGCTTGCATTGTGCTCCCTGAGCCGACTGACTGTTTGTTCCAGCTGCACCGACGTGAATCCTGCAGCGGCACGCTGCACCATGAAGACCGCCTCCCGCAACGGCGTTTCCCTGCAGCCCGTGGTCACAGACCTGGTAAGAACACTTTTTCTTTTATTGAAACGTACGAAGCAAACCAAGTCCCTCAAGGCCATTTATGTATTTTTGTTTACTTAAGGCCCAGTGTCTTCTGCCCCAGCTGAGTGAGAAGGTGGACATCCTGCTTTTCAACCCACCCTATGTGGTGACTCCCTCAGAGGAGGTAGGTTGGCCTAATTAACCCTCATATTATGTCTGAAATTATTTTTTACCCGCAGCATGTAAATGTATGCAAAACAGTCAAAACAGGTTAAACCAATAAAAGATGATGTAATATTGAATGAAACCTTTCGAAAAGTGTCATACAATAAATGTTTAATTCCAACACTTTGCAAGAACATTTTTGTTTTTCTTTGGGCAGTATGAGACAACTGTCACTTTCTCAATGAAAACAAATAGTGAGGTGTGCCCTGCATCTTCAGAATTTCACTGAGAGCATCTTCTGAATTTCACTGAGAAGTTGTTTAATTTCTTCAGACTATCCCAACATGGTCAGTTTTGTCTTCTGAAGTTCTTTTCCAAGGTGGTAGGGCGTAAAAAGGTTGTCACAGGTGATGATATGACCTTGCAACTAATCTCCAGCACCACAGGCATCCTTTTATTATCGTCAGATTTTCCTCCAGGTAGCGTTCCAGTGTACACTTGCAGATTCCACGCATAGCTAGATTTTGCATCACAGGCCGCCTTTATTTTGGTGCCATTCTCGGCAGGCTAGTTGGACACGTACGGTCGGAAAAGACAGCGCCCCCCCTGAATGAAACAAGACTCATCCACAGTAACGTCTGGAGCAGGATTGTCTGCAATCCATAAACTTGCAGTTGCTCCTCCCCTTTGACTTGTACACTTCAGCTCATAACAGAAGTCCAACGTAAGCACGCAAGTCAGTCTGATCCAGTGGCTTCCATTTGTCTTGAAACACACGTCTCCCCTCCAAGTTGGTCATTTCCAGTATCATCCTCTCTATTGGTGGGGATATGAAGATCTGCAATGGCGATTGAATCTAATGGACTCTTGTGAGGGCAAATGTTGAATGACCGGGAGTCATATTGATCACATTGGACGATGACAGTCTGCCTGGACTTTTGTGTGGTAATGTTGAGTATTTTACACAGACCAAAACCTTTCACAAACACCAGGCTCTCAGAGGCAATGAAAATACAAGTACACTGAATAGACATGTTTATTTAGGATCTGAACAGCTACTTGTGGTCCAAATGACCCGCAACATCATCTTTGTATACAAACTCTGCACAGACCCCCCCCACCCCTCCTACACAGAGTGACCAGATTTCACAAAAGTTAAAAAAAAAAAAAAAAAAAAGGATAACCAGCACTTTGCTCAACACCAAAACTGAAACGGGTTAATCATTACATTTGGTAAGTGCGACCAGTTTGTCAGATCTTTTCCTTTTCCAGGTTGGCAGCTCGGGTATAGAAGCTGCCTGGGCCGGTGGGGAGCGAGGCAGAGAGGTGACGGACCGCTTTCTGCCCGCGGTCACGCAGCTGCTGTCCAAAAGAGGCGTCTTTTATCTGATAGCTATTGCTGAGAACGATCCAGGTTTGAACACTTTAGCTTTATTGACATAGCAACAATTTTTCGTCAGATTTCTTTATTTTCTTTTCTTTTACAGAGGACATCATCCAGATCCTAGGCCAGCGTGGCCTGAAGGGAGAGTCGTGCCTGTCGACAAGAGCTAGAAACGAAAGGCTGTCTGTCCTGCGCTTTCACAGCAGCCAATTAGATCACTTTACAGGTTAGCGTTTGAGCAGAAGCCTTAAAAGAGGCAAGAGCGACCGCCAAGTCCTCAGGGCTTGGCCTTCTAGACCTATTTGACACAATTTCTGTGTATACCGGTGTTTCCCAACCCTGGTTCTCCAGGCACCCTGCCCTGCATGTTTTCCCAAGTTTCCCAGCTCCACCACACCCAATTCTAATAAATGGAGCAACTTTTCAACCATGCAGAAAGCTGCTATAGTCCCATTCACTAGAGTCAGGTGTGCTGCAGCAGGGAACCTAAGAAAACATGCAGGGCAGGGTGCCCGGAGGACCAGGGTTGGGAAACACTGGTATACAAAGAAATTGTGTCAAATGCGGCCCATGAGTCTAGAAGGCCAAGTCCTGAGGACTCGGCAGTGGCTCTTGCCTCTTTTAAGGCTTCTGTCACAGATAACAGAGCCGTTTCAGCGGAGCGGCCACTTTTACACCCACATTGATATCACTGACACTTGTTTGTGAGAGGTAGTGTGCTTGCAGACTTACCTTCCGGTGGCCTTAGTGAGGTCTGGAACAGGAGACTTGTAGGGGACTGACGTTAGCCCCGTGCGGCCGCTGCTCGCTGGCCCCTGCTCGGTGGTCACGCACAGGTTGTCACGCAGGTCTTATTCTCAAAGGTCTTACTCGAGAAGGGCTGACGAGAGGCGGGCTGACGCTTCCGCTGACGCTACAGCCACACTGCCGCTTTTGCTGCTGCGCTGCCAACGCCGCGCGGCTGCTCACGCGTTGGGTCGATTGCTCCCAGCTGACACCCATGCCCTGATTGCTCACATTGCTTTGCCATTGGCTAGCCCAGACAACGAGCCAACTGGTTGCACCCACGCATGGGTTGTGGTCACTCACACAAGAGTTTAGATAAGGAAGCACCAACAACTTAGGCTTGCTCTGTCTGGATCAATTTAATGGCGTTAGTGTAACAATGACAATTGCTCGAGCACGGCGGCATCCAGAAAGCACTCTGTCACTAAGGAATTGGGAACCAGGTACAACCTAATATAACACTGTTTAAACTTGACCTATTGTGACAAGAGCACCTGCGCAAAGTGGAAATGAGGCACCTCATTACAAAGCCATCAGCTCTCGCATGGAGACCTGGTGGCTTTCAATGTTTCATTGAACCCTTGTTCTAAAGTGAGGGTTCCATGAAACATCCACTTTTCACATGGAAACCGGATTTGTACAGGTAAGATTCACTGTTAACATACAACAGGCATCCAAATTCACATTATTAGACAGGCTAGTTTAACCAGTGTTTAAGTCACTGTGGAATGTCGTTAGTCAGTAGTTTTACTTGGTTGGTCTGTCTTTAACATGCAACCTGTCATTTCCAGATGATACAGCCGTCCTCTCCCAGCCTCAGCGCCCCACTGGCCACCAGCTCTAGAGCGGCGGGGAAGGCTCGGTGTTCGGCTTCTCGGATCCTCTCCGACAGGCTCTCCTCCGTGTCGCCGCTTACCACAGGTACGGCCTCCTGCACCACGATGGCCCCTGCATCTACCTCTTCCTGAAAAACAGAGGGACACTTTGAGCAAAACGTTGCCTAATCTAACAGTTTTCTGACTCTGAAAACTCTTACTTACAGCTACAAAATGGACCGTGCACCCAGAGAGGCGCACGCCGGCCTGCAGAGCCTGCTTCTGGGCGTTGACGCCCTTAAAGGACGGCAGCAGCGACGGGTGGATGTTCAGCACTTTACCTGAAACGCACGTTTGGTCACCAATGCTGTGGGGACCTCTGCGGTGAGAAATGTGGGTGGAGGAACATGTGCTCACCGCTCCATTTTTTGACAAATGGCCCTGTGAGGACCCTCATGAAGCCTGCCAGACACACCAGCTCCACTCCAAACTCTTCCAGCACGCGGTCGATGGTGCCGTCGAATTCGGCGCGGCTCCCGTACAGCTTGTGGTCCACCACCTGGTGGACAAAGCACAGCCGCGTGTTGCTGTGAAACCGTGTGCCATCCCCCACAATGGACTGTCAACACATAGCTTCATTTTGTAGCTGTTTGACAGCACCGACCTCAGTTTGTTTTTAGAATCGGTCATAGGAAAAACAGTCAAGTTCCAACCAAAGCAGACCACATGGAGCCACTCCTGCTGCTGTCAGACACTTGAATAAACATTTCTCTATCGTCCTCTTATTGCAACTTTAAATGCTTTTGGACCTTCTATTTAACCAAGTGAGACCAGTCGAGACTCTATCGTGCCCTTTTCCATGGCAGTCGGTTTAACTAAAATGGACGTTTGAAAATAAGCCTTTCTTCAATAAAATCTTCATACTAGTAGAAAGACACCAGTCACATTTCTAATCATAGAATATCAGTGTCGTCACATGTGCTCCACTGGTAGCCGGGGCATGAGCGGGGTTAAACAGCGCATACAGTCTAATAATCCCACTGCTCTAACCTTTAACCAAACGTACCGGTAGCCTCTGGTTTTTTTCTGTACCTACCACTGCTTTACAACAGACCCCCACGGAGATGAGTTCGGCCTCTGGCAGCTCAGTCCAAATGAGTGATTTAAATGACTGATTTTCAAAAAAGGTTTTAGATCTTTTTATTTTAGTGGAACACGGAGATTAGAAACGAGGCCTATCATTGACTGTTTAAAAATAAATAAAATTAAAACATTAACAAGGAGAGCTCCAACAACACACTGACTTACCCGCGTCTGGATTCCAGCCAGCGATGCTCTCTTCAGGCCCTGCACTCCGGGCCTGTTGGAGATGACCAACACAATCTCGGCCGAGCTGTTTGGACACTTGGCCTGCTCTATGAGGGCCTGTAGGTTTGTGCCTGGAACGCAGGGGTCAAATCGAGTCACTAAAGTTCCGCTGAGAGCAGCTCAGAGACGCTTCAACTGAACCTCACCTGTGCCAGAGATGAGAACTCCTACTCGGGTCCTCCTGCGCGGCTCAATCCTGTCGCCTTGGCCACTACCGTTTGGTTCCAAACCCGAATCTCCCCCGGCATTGAACAGGCTTTGTTTCAGATTGCTGACCACCACAGCTTCTGACCCTGTAGGTATGCAGGGTTAATGCCTGGAGCTACAGTGCGCTGTCCCGGGGCCGGCGCGCCTCACCTGGCTGCCTGCGCCGCACACAGCCCACCGTCCACACGGCTTCCTGGCCTTCAATGTGCCGCTGGACTCTCTGAGCGTCGGCTGGGGCCACCACCAGCACTGCCCCCAGGCCGCAGTTGAAGGTACGGGCCATCTCCTCCTCACTCAGACCGCCCTCTTTGTGCAGCCAGGAAAACACTGGAGGGATGCGCCAGCGGGACGCGTCTGGGCCACACACGGCACGTGGAAATGTTCAGGAGAAAGACTTCTGCCAAACACAAGGCTGCTCCTCCTTCCACCAAACACCGGTTCCAAATGGGTGCTTTCAACTCACCCAAGTCCACAGCCAGCTCCTGCGGTAGCACCCGAGGAATGTTCTCCAGCAGCCCCCCCCCCGTGATGTGAGCGCAGGCTTTCACCGCGCCGCCGCGAAGGACGGGCAGCAGCAGGCGGCTGTAGATCTTTGTAGGAGTGAGCAGAGCTTGCCCTGGAAGCAAAAACAATTACATTGCAACTTGGCTGGTTGGTTATGAATATTCAAACTAGTTAAAAATATCGTGTGCAGCTAAATGACTTTGTTCAAGAAAAAACTGATACATTTGAAAAGCCACTGGAATGGTCACGCACCAACGCTCTGTCCCGGTGTGCCAAAAGGAGCCGGGGAGCTGTAGCTGAGGCCAGTCCTCTCCAGCACTTTGCGCACCAGACTGAAGCCGTTGCTGTGGACTCCGGAGGAGGACACGCCCAGCAGCAGGTCCCCCTCGGCCACGTCCTGCAGCCGGGGCAGCAGGGCCCGCCGCTCCGCCGCGCCCACGCAGAACCCGGCCAGGTCGTACTCGCCCGCCGCGTACACGCCCGGCATCTCTGCCGTCTCTCCGCCTGCAAACAAAAATCAAATGAGCCAAACTGGAATCCACTTAGTTCAGCCAACCGACGCAGACCTGTTCCCCGACTGGTGTCGGCTGCTAAACGGCTGCCAGTCGGTCATGTTGGCCCTGACCACTTCAGATTTTTTCCTCCACAGAAAAAGGCACGTTATGTTTTCAGAGCTCCTTCCCAGCTTCTACAGATAATCAGATTCAACTTGTGAAAAGGTTTATGACTTCTAATTTTACTCCCTTTACATCAGCTGACTCATTTCATCCCTCCCAGACAGCAGCTCTGATTTTAAGTCCTTGCTCCATTTGCCCCGATATGCTCCACCTTCCTTTTTATTCTACCATACCATTTGGTTTAATTTAGAGTTTTCATCTCAACATATTTCTGTGCCAGTGGAGTGGAGTTCGGTTCTCACCCAGTAGGGCGCAGCCAGCCATCTCGCAGGCCTTAGCCACGCCGCCGACCACCGACGCGGCCACGTCCACATCCAGGCGGCCGCAGGAGAAGTAGTCCAGGAAAAAGAGCGGCTCGGCCCCCTGGGCCAACACGTCGTTCACACACATGGCTACCAGGTCCTGACCCAGGCCTCCGTGCTGCCCACACGCCTGAGCGATCTGATGGACAGGTCAAAAGTGTTAAACACGGGGGGGGGGGGGGGCACAATCATTAACGCTGCTAAGTTACACCTTCAGCTTGGTCCCGACTCCATCTGTCCCAGATACCAGGATTGGGTCCACAAACCCTGCTGCCTTCAGGTCAAACAGCCCAGCAAAGCCTCCCAGTTCTGCATTACACCCTGATAGGGAGGACAAATGTTTGCAACTTTTCAATGGGTTTGATTTTACTTATGTTAAATGATCCAAATCCTCACATTTAAGCTGCAGTTACTGCGAGACACATCTCCCATTTAATGACATGATAAAGTTTCAAACATATTAAAAATAAAAAAATGGTCTGAAGCATCTAATCATTTTCATATCCAAATATTGCTTTTCTTTTTTTAAGAGGTGAATAAGAACTTACCAGAGCGGGAAGTGGCCTTTGCCAGAGGCTTGATGATTTCCACCAGCTGGTTGCCGGCGGCGATGTCCACGCCGCTGTCCTTATAGCTCAGACCCCTGCTGGAGGGACACTTTACTGCCTTTTATTCCCATCCAAACCAGTGATTCTTCACAGCACCGTAAAATTACAGCCACAGATGCTTATGGAAAACCAGATGCTTCATTTCTAGATTTATGCCCTCAGCTTTACAACAAAACCAAAACAGGAACACAACAGATTAACTTAAATCAAATACAGTTTTGATTACACGTAAAAAAAAAAACGATAAAAAGCATACAAGTATTAGTAGTCAATGGAGATAACGTGTTGGTGCACGCCGTGTGTTTGCATCATTCACACACACACACACACACACACACCTATGCCGGGTCAGGTGGGAGATGGCCCGGTGGCCGATGTCTCGTCGGAACACGGCGCCCGGGAACCCCACGGCTGCCACGCCCTCATTGGCTGCCTGCAGGGCTGTTTCCAGTGATGGCCGGACCGCCGTGACGGTCAGAACTCTTCCGCCGCTGGACACCACGCCCCCTCCCTTCAGGGCGGTGCCCGCATGGAACACCTGCAGCCCCATCTCCTGGAGCTGGGACAAGCCTGAGGAGGGAGACGGAGTCTGCTTCAGGCTGGTAATACCGAGCGGTGAACTCATCTTCAGCTAAACTACATTAAAGTCTTTGTGACTTAAAGCTATTATACTGGCATATATACAGTGGTCTGCAAATGTTTGGGCAACCTTGTTAATTTCAATCATTTTCTTTCATAAATCATTGGTTCTTAGGATTAAAAAAAAAACAGTTAAATATATCGTATAGGAGACAAACACAGTGATATTTGAGAAGTGAAACAAAGTTTATACCATTTACAGCAAGTGTGCAATAATTGTTTTAACAAAATTAGGCATGTGCATCAACTTGGGCACTGTTGTCATTTTACTGATTTCAAATTCTTTAGAACAAATTATTGGAAGTCAAAATTGGTTTGGGAAGCTCAGTGACCCTTGAACTACATACGCAGGTGAACCCAATTATGACAGAGTATTTAAGGGGGGGCAATTGTAAGTTTCCCTCCTCTGTGAATCTTTTCTGAAGAGTAGCGACATGGGGGTCTCAAAACAACTGTCACATGACCTGAAAACAAAGATTGTTCACCATCATGAATTAGGGGAAGGATACCAAAAGCTGTCTAAGAGATATCAGTTGTCTGTTTCCACAGTTAGGAACATAGTCAGGAAATGGAAGACCACAGGCACAGTTCAAGTTAAGGCTCCAAGTGGCACACCAAGGAAAAATCACAGATAAACAGAAGCAAAGAATGGTTAGAACAGTCAAAGTCAACCAACAGGCCAGCACCAAAGACATACTACATGATCTTGCTGCAGATGGAGTCATTGTGCATCGTACAACTATTGCGCACACTTTACACAAGCAGATGCTGTACGCAAGAGTGATGCGGAGGAAGCCTTTTCTCCGCCCACATCACAAACAAAGCCGCTTGAAGTATGCTAAAGCACATTTGGACAAGCCGGCTTCCTATTGGAATAAGGAGCTGTGGACTGATGAAACTAAAATTAGACATAAGGGGTGTCATGCATGGATAAAAAAACAACAGCATTCCTAGAAAAACACCTGCTGCCTACAGTCAAATTTGGTGGCGGTTCCATCCTGCTGTGGGCCTGTGTGGCCAGTGCAGGGACTGGGAATCCTGTTAAAGTTGAGGGACGCATGGATTCCACCAAATATCAGTAGATTCTGGAGACCATTGTCCCGGAATTAGCTGAAGCTGCGCCAGGGCTGGATCTTTCAACAGGACAAGGACCCTAAACACTGCTCAAAATCTACTGAGGCATTCATGCAGAGGAACAAGTACAACGTTCTGGAACGGCCATCTCAGTCCCCAGACCTGAATATTATAGAAAATATCTGGTGTGACTTAAAGAGAGCTGTCCATGCTCGGAAACCATCAAACCTGAATGAATTAGAGGTGTTTTGTAAAGAGGAATGGTCCAAAATACCTCCAACCAGAATCCAGACTCTCATAGGAAGCCATAGGAAGCGTTTAGAAGCTGTTATTTCTGCTAAAGAGGGATCTACAAAATATTGATTTGTTTTGATTGTGGTGCCCAAATGTATGCATCAGCCTATTTTTGTTTAAACAATTATTGAACACTTCCTGTAAATGGTATAGACTACGTTTCACTTCTCAAATATAACTGCGTTTGTCTCCTATATCATATAATTAACTGATTTTTTTTATCCTAAGAACCAACGATTTATGAAGGAAAATCATGGAAATTTACAAGGTTGCCCAAACTTTTGCAGACCACTGTATATATATATATTTATTTTTTTTCCAAACCCAAATAGGAGAAAACAGCATTCCCGGGCTGACCGTACCTGTGAGCGGAACTCCCTTCTGGTAGGAGCCGGGGTATCCGGCGCTGGCCATCACCACCGTGACCGCCGAGCTGTCCTGCTGCCACACGGGGGCGCTGCAGGCCAGTTTACCGGTCATCGTGTTCAGAATCACCTCGTACAGGTCGCTGCGCAACAGAGGCAGCAGCACCTGAAAACACACAAAACACTTTGTTACAAACATTGAGGGCCCCAATGGCAGACGTGGCACAACACCAACCTGACACTCGGGGTCCCCAAAGCGGCAGTTGAACTCCAGAACCTTTGGCCCCTGCGCGGTCAGCATCAGGCCAGCATACAGCACGCCTGCAAACAGCGCAGAGGTCAACACCCCATATACAGTTCAGGGGGGAAGTTTCTGAAACACCGGACGAGGAGAAATGCAACTTGCCCACGTAAGGCGTTCCCTCCTCCCTCATCCCATCCACCGTCTTCTGCAGGACCTGCTCTCTGATCTGCTGCAGCAGCTCCACGCTCACCTGCTCGGGATGGAATCACTAAGAAATCACCACCAAAAAGGACCTCAGTGTGCTCATTAAAGCCATCGGCCACTGTACCTGAGGGGTGGGGCAGTAGGCGCCCATGCCGCCCGTGTTGGGGCCCAGGTCGCCGTCCCGCAGGCGTTTGTGGTCCTGCGCCGGAGGCATCGCACACACGGAGGTGCCGTCACTAAAGCACAGACACTGAAACAGACACGCGCAACAAAAACAGCAGGATTAAGTTGACGTATGACAACGACACCTGAAGGAGGCGGCGCAGCACTGACCGACACTTCCTCCCCATCCAGAAGCTCCTCCACCACCACCGTCTCCCCAGCCGACCCAAAGGCTCCATCCTTCAAATCATCAAAGCACAACATACCGTTAACCCACACTCCAACGTGTTTCACATGAGGCCTGGCTAAAATGAATGTGTCCAGAACTTCACATCAGAGGTGTGGAGCAGGAAAACAGCTCATACATGCAGGGCTGTGACCCCTGACATGGAACCTAACATTGTTCAAGAGAGGAAAAGGAAGAGCTAGAGTGAAGGAACTACGTGCAAGTTAGACTTAAATCAACAGTGCGTTTATCTGAAACATTGACCACTTAATAGCAGCTGTTATTACAAAAGTCCCATTTGTCTTTAATCCCTTTTCTCCATCATTGGTTTATGGTTAGTAAGATCTCTCTACAGGACCCGTTTGAATAGCCGTTCCGGTTGTAAAGCATCCTGAGGGTCATTTCACACCTTCATCATGTCCATCACTGCCCGACAGGCCTCCTCTTGGTCCCGTGCCACGATCACTCCCTTCCCCGCTGCTAGACCGCTGGCCTTCACCACCAGAGCTGGAAAGTCGGCCCTGAAAGCACACAATACGCTCGCAAACGACTTTCTTTCTTTGCGCAGAAACATCTGGAGCAGATGTTGATACAGAGCAAACCGTGTTTGTTTATGGCCCGCTGAGCATTAGCAGTACACACTGATGTTTAGAAATGGGCTCTGCATCCATATGGATTAAGGCTGTCTATTCACGGCAGCTGTTGTTCTGCTTAAAATGGCTGACATGACCACAGAAATGACTTTCAGAGAATGGGGGGGGGGGGAGAGACTGTTGCCGTCTGTAAAATATGCAGCTTTGCTTATGCTGGATCACTAACTTCTTGGAGGGAGAGACAGTCATTACATCTTACATCGTTAACTCATGAAGCCATCTGAGAAGGCTAACTTCTGTGAAAACCACATTCTGGCGTGTGCTTAATGGCGCCCAGAGCACGGCTGGCATCAAGCCCTATTGTTCTGATGCACTTCAGTTGTCCAGAGATACTGACGTGCGGATGTAGCGGCAGGCCTCCTGCGGGTCGGTGAAGGAGCCGTAGCGAGCCGTGGGGATGCCGTGGCGCTGCATGAAGGCCTTGGAGAAGCTCTTGCTGGCCTCCAACTGAGCCGCTTTGGCCGAGGGTCCGAAGCAAGGCACTCCTGCGGCCGTGAGGTCGTCCACCATACCTGCAGGTACCGTTACGGATGTAGATTCAATTCAATACGACCCGATGAGAGACGATTCAAACGAGTCGACGCGACCGGAGTCAAACCTGCGGCCAGCGGCGCCTCGGGCCCCACCAGGACCAGCCCCACGTGGTGGTCCTTACAGAACTGAGCCAAGATGGCGTGGTTGCTGACCGACACCTCTGCAGGAGGAAAAACAGAGTTAGCACTGAGTGGTCATTACCCCCCCCCCCTCATTCGGCTGTGGGACTCCCCCCACAGGAGCCAGATGATGGAATTACCACATGAAGAGCTGTGAGAGCTGAGGAAGATTCAGGAAACTTCCTCTCACAGAAAAGCCTCACCGTGAAGTAAGTACATAAGGCCACACGTTCTGAGGGCTCCACAATCATTCCTCCCGTTAGAGAAATAAATACGTTTAATGCATATTTACCAGAGTTGCAGATCTTGCCACAGCTGGCCGTGCCGGCGTTCCCCGGGGCCACCAGGACCTGCTGGACGCGTGGAGACTGGGCCAGCTTCCACGCCAGCGCGTGCTCCCGTCCGCCGCCGCCCACCACCAGCACTCGCTCTGCCATGGCTCCTGAGACCACAGAGGAAGTCCAGCTGAATGCCGCTTTTCCACCGTGCGGTCAGTGCTCCTCATCCACCTTTATATTACTTCTGATGTCACCGTTTAATTGGATTTGAAGCCTGACCTATAGCCAAAGGAGTTTGCCAAGCCGTGCAGAAGCATTGACCTTTTCCCGGGTCCAGGGGGCTCACATTATCTTGTAATGTCACACTAACAAGGATCCAATCAACCAAAACAAAAACACCAGTCAACAGTTCACCAGCAACATGGCCTCATTTGCATAGAAAAACCAGAGCAGCTACTGGCCTGATATACAGCTAAAGACTTGCTTGAGCTCGGAGTCTCGTTCTGGGCTTTACAAACACTATAAACATAAAAATATAAACTGGATCCCTTTCTCAATCCAATGTTCCATTAAGAGCCTCTGCTTCATTCGCTGTGCACTTAATGGCTTCAGTATGCTGATTTCAGTGCTCCACAGAGCCTCGCTTTGATGTTGGCTCAAGCTAAATACATGTTTGTTATTTAAGCATTTGGTGTACAGAACTGAGTTACTCACTCAGAAACAGCCAGGGACACATCCACGAATTCATTCCTACATGTTCAAACCTACCATTTAAAAACAGAAACAACCCTGCTTCGTCTTTTGTGTTGGGGCCCAAACGCAAAGACCCAAACATCAGGTTACAACATCTTCAGGACTGGACTTAAAATGTGGAAAAAGCCATCAACATCCAAACAATAATTCTGAATAACTTTCAAAAGTCTTACTGGAAATCATTTAAAATGCTTCCAGAAAGTCGGCTTCTTTTGGCAGGTTAAAGTCTTTCACATCTCTCGCTAATCTAAAGAGTTGATTAAATACTGGATACACTGACAGAAAAAACAAAGAAATCTACTCTATTGAACACAGTGTAGATCGACTCCTTGGAATCAATGTGGTCACAACACAGAGGCAAAAAGCTGAGTTTGAATTTCTTATCTTGAATCAGTGCAGATACCCGTGTTGGTCAACAAGCCTCGAACTTTTTGAATGTCTAAACATTGAACCAAGAAGCACAAAGACTTCTGACCCTCTACAAGTCAAACAAGCTCAGGTCAGAGGTCAAAAACTCAGGGGGTTGTGAAACTGCATGCAGAGCGGGTCCATCTTTGCAGAGAGCGTTTTTTAGCATTTGTAAAGAGGAGTGCTGGATGCAGTGCGCATGCTCAGCCATTAGCCAGATCACAGCCTCTGATTCAAGTCACTCTTCTCATGTGACTCACATCTCTGACCACACCAAAACAGCCCTGTGCACAAACGACCCATCCAGGCGGCTTTACTCAAACAAGCACACCACTTAAAGGCCCTTCACCAACTCACCCCCCCCACCAAAACTCAAAGTCTCTGTCTGCGCGAGCTGGAAATGCTCCAATGATCGATTCTCTTCTACTTTAAAGTCACGCTTTCTTTAACTTTGGAGTCAAAAACGTTGCCACTTACCTGTGCGTTTGTGTGTCCGTGTGAAGCCGGAGAAACTGCAGCCTGACTGACCGTCCCGCGACGCTGCAATACTGGTCACGCCACCCACTAATTGCACGCGCCACGTGCATCCAATATGAGCCAGAGATGCTCACGGAAGCCTCGTGCTGGCGGGGGGGGCACGCGGTCAGCAAACAGAGCACAAAACCACTAAACCGGCACTCGCTCGTGGTCGTTTGCTTCTCACTTGGTCTGCAAAGCAACTTTAGAGCGTTTCTTTTCGATTGTTCAACTTCCTCTGGAGGGGGAGTGGCACGCAGTGCATCACGGGAAGTGTAGTCACTCGGACAAAAGTTGCCATGAAGCAAACTGTAAAACTAACATCAGACGGTTCGTTATGAAGATGCTGTGAACTTGACATCAGGAATATATTTCATTCTATGCCCTTATTAGAAATAAATACTGACACAGAAAAGACAACGAGAGGTTCATCAGAATGTTTTTATCAGGTGCGGTTACATCAGACTTACTTTACCTCTTCAGGCCTTTTGCTTAAAAACTAAACAAAAATGTGACCTAAAAAACTGCTTGTGGACAATTTTCCTCCAATGCTTAATAATAATGTTTTTTCACTTTCATTTGTGTGCATCTGCAATAAAGTGTAGCAGGAAATTCATTTGTGATCTTCGGCATGGGAGTTTACAACACCACGGTCAATTATTTCCATTTCAATCAGCAGAATTTTAGTTTTAATAGCCCCCCCCTGTGTGGCAGTCCTGTCACAACAAAGGGAGTTCAGGAGCTTCGAGGAGTTCTTTTGCCAGATCTGTCTCTACTTGGGCAAAGAGCGTGATGCCCGATCTGTAGGCCGCAGGGATTGTTATGTGCATCGTCCTGGGATGATCACATTCCCGCTTTTCCTCTTGGACCATCCGCCTAACTTGACCTGAAGAAAACAACAACAACAACAAGTCAAACCTGGGGGTGCACGTTCCTATCGGTCATCCAAAAGCACCTTCTTTACCCTCCACGTCCATGAGCTGCCACCTGGGGTCAGACTGGCTCACGGGGAGGCTGGACAGCGGGCAGCCGGGCCCCAGGCGCTGCAGCACGTCTTCCCGGCGGATCAGCAGCACTGATTGGCTGCAGAGTCGCCGGTGCACCACCTCTTCTCTTTCTACCAGACACAAGAAAGGAAAACCATTGGGCATTTCTGCCACGCCGCAGCCACAGTGACCTTCTTGTTCTTCACCCACCGACATCCAGAGGGTTGGTCAGAAAAACCGCACGGGGTGCAACCCCGAACACCAGCTGGTGGTGCCAGGCGTCGGGCACCTCCTCGCCCTCCGCCACGGCCTGCTGCATGTTCATGGTGGCCACGGGGACGGCGCCCCTTTGGATCCAGCGCGCCAGCCAGGGAACCAGTCTGAGCCGCCGCGCAGGGTGCAGGTGGAAGAAGCGACCCGTCACTCTGCCCTTACTGGCCTCCCGCGCCCCTTGGATGAGCTGAGCATGAGTGGCACCTATCAGATTTTAGAAAACATAGAACCTGGTGTTGAGCCCAAATGTGGCTTCAAAACAGCAGAGCAGAGCACAAGTCTCCCCCTCTGACAAACATTAAACTTGCTCTAATTCCAGAGTGTGCTTTGACTGCAGCCAGGAAACACTCTTAAACAATCTTATGGCCTCTCTGAGAACCTGCAACACCTGAAATCTGATCAACGTGGAGCGGAATTAAGACGTGTGCTGCGTGAGGGGAGGGGTCGTTTTTATCGTGTAATGCCGTTTGGCTTCACGACACAAAGTCGGGTTATGTACCAGCTTCACTGCGAGACAGCAGGTAGTCGGCCAGCGGGGACTCGTTCCTCCTCGGGCGCGTTTGGACGCAGCGGTCAGCCTCCTCCGGGCTCACGTGCACGCCCAGCGCCTTCAGCACGTCCAGCACCGCCGTGGCCCCGCAGGCGGACACTCCGATCTGCGGGGTCTGCCTCTCCACAGCCTCCTGGATGGACCACAGCATGGCGGCAGCCTCTTCCTCCTCCTCCTCCTCCTCACCCCCGTGGACCTGCTCACGCACCGCCTCCATCCGAGAGCCTCACCTGCCCACACACGAACCCAACAGCATCAGAGGCACAGCACTACCCCACAACCCCAAAATCCCCTGAACCCCAGAACCTCACTACCCCAGATCCCCGGTGCCCCTGCTGGGTGGCCAAACAGAACTTATTGGTTCTGCGTCTGCGCAGAACCAAGAAGCGTGTCTCTGTTTCTCACCTGTGCTCCAAGAGACAAACTCCTCTCAACACCAGCTCACGGTGCGCATGCTCGTCACATGCATTTACGTTCGCTGCTTTCTGTACCGGCACGAGACCCAAAAAGACCACCAGCGCCCCTGCTGGCCAAAATAATCAACAATCCCCAAACCGTGTGTAGGTCAGCGCTTTTGTCAGTATTTATTCATTTTTAATAAGACCATCACTTTAAATAATGTTCAAAGTAGACCTGAAAAAAAATTTAGTTGGCAAAGGTCGCTTGAAGGGTTAATCATTCAACTGAACCATTTTTAAAGCTGCAAATATGTTTGGTAAAATAAAACTTTACTCATTCATAGTGGGAATAAACCCCCTAAACACTAACATATAAAGTGCAAATATATCAACATACAGCCAAGGTATGAAGATATGAACAAGGTCTAAAATAATGCTTTAATATTTTAACTAAAACCTCGGTGTACTTTCTGGTTGATTCTACATCAGGCTTTCACAAACCCGCACATCTGAGTGGAAATTCAGTTCACTAAATTAATAAACGGCTGAACTTTTTTTTGGCATGTTCTGTCTAACAGTTTCCTGTCTGGCCAGCAGATGACAATGTTGGTGCATGTGAACAGCAGAAAGTCTGCAGCTGGCAGGTGTTGAGTGGCCTCCTGCAGCTGGAGGTGTGCGCCGCATTCACAGGGGGAAGGGCCAGAAGTCACAAGTGTTACAGCCTGATCTTTTTCCAGTGCTCTGTAGGGGTGTGAGCTCCTCATGAAGGATCTGTACACAGGCTATAATCAGGATGAGCTGCGGGGTGTTCTTGTGTTTCCCTTCACCAGAAATTTAGCTGGTTTGAGCAAGACTTTGAAATGCCATTTCAACTAAATGGAAACAATAGCACCTGGAATCTGATCTCACAGCTCTTAATGGTCCAGATGGGACTCCCACAGGTTGCTTTCCCCAGTTATTGTTGGGAATAGTTGCACAAACAGGCCACAACTGCTCTTGGTTGAAATCTGCAAGATCTGCAGGAACATCACTCGAGGACCTCAACACCACCTGGTGGTGGAAAACAGACAAAGAGTTACGAATACAAGTAAAAAAAACAAAATGTGATTCATTTAATATTAAGATGAGGTAACTTTTTAACTCCCCCCCACCATCTCTCTTTGATGTTCTTGCTCTAATTTAATTAGCTCTGATCGGCGATGAGTAACGTTAAACTCCGGCTTTTTTGGATGGTATTCAGCTCACCCTCACCATTCCCTTCTTTCCCCCCCAGGTTAGAGATGGCCGCTGGAAGCACCGAGAGTTGAGTGTGATTAAAATTGACTGGCCTCTTGAAGTGAGATTTGGCAGCCGATATGAAGCAAGCCCGCAGAGGAGATGAGGGAGGAGGGAACATTTCTTACGTACTTGGAGTGAAAGATAGAAACAGAAGCCGTTTTCTCTCAGGAAGCCTTCAACTCAGCATCAACTTCTCACAGACAAGAAGAAGCTGAGGCAAAACTACATTTTTGGCTTTTTCTACGATGACACACTCACAGTACAAATTCTTTTTGAAATGTGGGGGATGCTCCAGCATCATTCAGACGTTTCTGTGCGGGACTGTGATGCGTGATGCCCACAGCTGGCCTGAGTTGCAGCACATCTGTAACGCTCGTATCCACTACTGGAGAGGAGATTTTAAATATCAAGGTTTTATTTCCAGAGTGGATCAAGACTGAAGCAAAATCTTTACCTTTAACTAAAAACATCCTTAATTCTGTTCACCAAATGGTTAAAAATAATCTTTCACTTTCAGTACATTAACTTCAGAATGAGCATGTATACATCCGCAAGTGATCTGTTTGAGCCTGGATTTACTTTGTTCATGTACTACGCACGTCAAAGATGATAATCTGTCAGGGGCAGTTCATCAGAATCGTATAGGGAAATCAGCAAGAACTCTGTAAAATAATAGGTGGTGTCTGAGCTTTTAAAACTATAACCAGTGTTGGATGTAGCACAAAAAGCAAACACTTTTATTCAGTTGTCTTTTATAAGTATTCTTCAGTGCTTTCCTGGAAAGTAGTGCTTGCAGATTAATTATTTACTGATCCACCATTTTTTCTCGTAAGGTATCAGAGTCTAAACATTTGGACGTAATCGGTAATTATGCATTTCAATTGATATATACTTAATCAGCTAAAGGAAGAATACAATTTCAACCTAAAACATTGATGAAAATAGATTTTGACGCTCTGCTAAGATGCTGTCTTTTACTGGCATCGCAGCATTCAGCTTTTTAAGTTTGACATAAAAACTTCTCAAAAACACATGCCTCTCTTAGGAGATTAAAATAATTTCATGAAATACTGAAATGCAACATTAAAACATGTCCAGAAATCTAACCAAGAAAGTCAAATAGAACCTCCTGATTCCCGTTACAATACACAACATCTCTTGTTTAAAAAAAAAAAAAGGTGTCTAAGCTTTAAATACAGTGTTTTCCTACAGAATCTTGTTCTGCAAAGGGTTCATATGCTGTACAATAATGTGTGTGTGGGACAAGAAACTGACTGTGCATAACATAATTACTGCTTTTATTGAGTAGCCAAGAGTAGCCATGTTTGAGCTAATGACTTGTGAAGGTGCCCTGCTTTTCCCAGTCCAAAATCTGAATTTAGATGGTTTGTCATGTTTGTTTTCACCATTTTGCCCCCATGTCCTATCAAGGAATCACCTCTGACTTTGACAAACACCAACAGCCTCATTTCATAGACATTCAGACACAATACTACAGCAATAACCTCCTCTTTGTGGTTCGGGAACTAAAATTCATAAGATCTGTTAAGACTTTGGGCTTCACTTGTCCCAAGTCGCTCTTTTCTTCTGAGACGACTTCTGTGGCCTTGATAGCAGCTACATACATTTTTCAATAGCTTAATGTCCATTACCGCTAGCAGCTTGAGGCCCTTTGAGATTGTTTTTCTTGCCATTACACAGGGTCCATACATTTCATTTTGCCGTTATCTATTCAAAACAGAAAAAGCCATTGCCGGTGATAGCTTGGCGCTCGCCTCGAGGTGAAAAGTTCACAAAGACACAACAATCAGAGAAGCAGCATTTTTAAGATAATCCCGTGATCTTAACCCGGCTGCACGGCGGCTGTGCCGGGAAAAAATCATAAATCTGTCAGCCGTTTAAAGGCCTGTGGTCGTCCCCTTGGAATAAGACGGCGGGCAGTGTCTATTTAAACATTATCTCCATGACCTCTCTGTGCACAGCAGCTCCGCAGGGATCTGCGGGATTAACCGGTGCCTCTGAGGTAAGCTGAATCATTATAAACAGCAGGAACACTTTGAAAATACCCATAACAGCGTATTAGCATTGAAATGAGGCAACACTTTGTCAGAATGTAGCTCTGGGTCATGGAGACAAATACCGATACGGCCGGGGGACTTGAGCGCTCGCTTATGTGTCCACGCTAATGTCAACAGTGTTAACATGCCGGCTCGTTTGCAAAGGTGCACGAGCTTTGGACGGGATTCACCTCAATGCGTCTCCTCAGAGGCTGCAACATTTAAGAGCCCGCACAGAGCCACGGGGACTATGCATCTTCCATTCTCCATTTGAGCCGGCGGTAAAACATTCCTCGCCGTTAAGTTACCTTTATGCAGGTCATTACAGCAGAAAAACCTGTCCAGCATGTACTCTCTTCCCCTGCAATAAAAATCCTCGGAATTTTCAAAAGGCAGGTGCATAAATAATAAGAAAGCACATTTAGTCTTGGCGAGGACGGCGCCTTTGTCTTCTGTCAAACACAAAGTGGATTTTGCACTCCAGCAAACACTCAAGTAGCGGCTCCGTGGAGCTGTATTCAAGTCACATAAATCCTGATTTGAAGGTAATTAAAATGCTAGAGAGAACTCCTACCTCCAAACTCACTTGTCACTAAATTGATGCTTTTTCTCTCTTTTCTCATTCAACAGCCGGTTCTCTCCAACGAACAATGCAAATAACAGCCTTTTATTTCATTGGCACGTCAGGGGCTTCCACCCTCTGACTGTTTCTTTTTATTTAGGAAGCTATAATGTGCATTCAGCCAGATGTAGCATTCGGAGCCACCGTGCTGTGTGTGAAATTTAATCACTCAAAGAAATTGATTTCTTCACATATTGTATTTAGTGCTGTTGGAATACACACTCGCATAGTTTCAAATGAATTCAACTAGCTCAACAGAACATTGTCAATTTCCTCACCGACTGACTTCCCATAGTCACTTCCTGTTGTCTAGAATCAGTTATAACGCGAACTTTGCCTGGACGACAACTGCGACAGCTTGCCAGGAGCCCCTCCGGCAGCTGCGAGCCTCGTTCATGAATACAAATCAAAAACGTGTGCCACTTTTAATCAAGCATACAAGAAATACTTGTGGGGAAGAACTCACACAGAACAATGTGACATGTTTAATCACTACATCGCGTATCGCAGACGGTACGAGAACAAAAACTGCCATTATTCATGAATGTCAGATAAGAAAACTGTTGTCGAATGTAAAGCTGCTAAAGGTTTTTTTTATAGAGCCCATTATCACATCCGACCAGGATCAGATCCCACGTGGTCCCACTACTGAAAAAAAAACAAATGCTCTAAACAAACTGTCCTTGGCAGATAATGCTCCATCAAGTTCCTGGAGCTGGCCGATTTTCCTCTCTGCCAGACATTCATCAGGCGTCTCTGACACCGAGATAATTTCCACTCTGTGCTCGTACATCACGGCGTAAAGGTGATGGGTTCTTTTTCTGAAGCTGTCGGCGCTAAATAGCCGCGCTGACATTCCAAA